ACTCCCTCTCCTAATTCGATTACATCCAAATAAAACCATTGCTGTTTTCCGAAACGATTAGGTAGGACGCTTGGTACACTGCGGATTTTTGTATAAGACGCTGCAGCTTGAAATACTGCTTTGTAAAAACCTGAAGCTTTTAGAAGACATAGACAACTGCAAGGGTGAACATGTGTATACGGTGTGACATAAGTATATTGATAAGGGAAACGAGGTACAACGCTGTTATGTGGCCAGTGTTACTGATTGGGCGGGATGTGGCCCCATATGCGCTGTGAATGTTAAGAAAATGATCACATATGATCACTGGTATCTACGAGATAGTGTTTAAATCCAGTGAGAGGACTGCGTGAGTAATATGGAACATAGTCATTTAGTGTTTAACAACAAGCCTTCCGGTCTCCCACTGGGATGCCTGTTGAATTAGAACCGCCACCGTTGTCTCAGTGGTGTATTTCGCATTCCAGCGGGCTTGTCGCATCCGTGAACAGTGTTTGCGAATACCATGCATAGTCGGGTAAACCACAGGGAGTGATAATGCAAAACAACATGAAAAAACACCGTGAAATGGAGGCGAGTTGGTCCTTACGATCTTCCTGGATGGGAATTTGAGATCAGCTACATTAGCCGTTGGATAGCCTGCCCGATGGCGCTGTCGTATTCGTTCCCTCATTTCTGACCATTAGCGATCCCAGATGATCACTTCATAAAGCAAACTCAATTTCCAAGACTCCGACGGAAGACAGTCCAGTGCTGTAGACAATCTGCTGCCATGTACAGACAGCATAAACTTCCTAGAAGCTGGCGCCAACAAAACAACTCAGGAGAGTTATAAATAATACAATTACAACCATAAAACGATGTGATATGATGGTCCAAGTAAAATTAAGAGCAAAGGTCTATTGGATACCATTAGTTATCATTCTATATAACGCCATAATAATTAGCAAAGCAATGCTACTGGCAGGATAGTTGTCAGGCGGATAACACCACTTCCCACTCTAACTCATACGTATTCATCCCCTCACCACACCTCTTTCAACGACCCTTTTAAGTACATTTGAGAATGGAAGTGTCATATACTGTGCGTTTGTATTTCAACAGAGTAATCCAAATTTTTATATATATATATATATATATATATATATATATATATCATTGCATTCGTTGTGTTAATTTCACCAAAGCATTCGATACGGTGAACCGTTCGGCATTGTGGCTAGTGTTGGATAAGTTTGGTTGTCCAAATAAGTTTATAAGTTTGATTGAATCTCTGCACAGTGGTATGCGGGCGAGGGTGCAGCTGAGTGGAGAGACCTCGGATGACTTTGCAGTTGTCTCTGTTCTGGAGTAAAACTGTGTATTAGCTCCTGCCCTGTCTAATATTTATCTTCATTCCATGATGTCTTGTGCTTAAGATGCTGCTTGTGCTTACGGTGTTCGTGTGGAGCACCGTATTGATGGTGAGTTGCTGAGCATCCGTCGTTTCAGTGCGAGAACCCCAGTCTGTGAGACAACTATCTGTATGTTGCTGTTCGCTGACGATTGTGTTGTTTGCACACAGCGCGGATGAGTAGCAGCATACGACTAGTGCTCTGGCTTCGACAGCGGCCAAATTCGAGCTCACCATCAACACAAGCAAAACTGTCTATCTCTTTCAGGCTTCACTGGTGCTATCTGCAATATTGCCGCGAATCAGTATTGGTGACGAAGTATTGGAAACCACCTCCCACTTCTGCTACCTTGGGAGTGTGATGTCGATTGACCAGCAGCTACACAGTGAGCTTCGTATTAGCGTCTCGGAAGCAGCGGCGGCATTCGGAAGCTAGAGTATCAAATGTGGAACAACCACCTGCTTACCATTGGCACGAAGCTGATGGTTTACAAATACATGGTGCTGTCCGTTCTTCTATACGGCAGCGAAACGTGGATGATGTACCGGCTGAATGCGCGATATCTCGAGCGGTTCAATGAATAGTGTTTGCGAAGCACTCCGCGCATTTGTTGGTGCGACAGAGTTTCAGACACGGAAGTTTTGCGTCGAAGTGGAATGTATGCAGTGGACTGCATACTTTTGCTGAGACACCTGAGGTGGCTCGGTCATGTGTGGTGTATGGATTCGACGCGGATATCGAAGCATGTGTTATATGGTCAGCTGAGTGGGGGGAAGCGGCATGTGGGGAAACCGAAGCTTCGTGACCAGGACATGATCAAAGTGAGCCTCTCACGTTCTAATCTTGATTGCAGGTCATGGGAATCGAAGGCGGTTGATCGGCGTGCATGGCGCGATCTGATCACGAAGGCAGTTGCCGAGGTGCAGAGAAAGACCTCATGCATGCAGAGAAGAAGCGGCAAGCGCGGGTGGGTTGTACTCCATCGACATCGAGCGCATGGTGCTGTAGCACATGCGGTCGCGAGTGCCTGAGTCAGGCAGGCCTAGTGAGCCATGAGCGAGGCCACTCGGGACCACCACCGAAGCGACGACGGGTCCTGCAGAGAACGTAGGCAGAACCGGCGCAGCGTTTGTAGGTACGCTGCATTCGATTTACTAACCGCGTGCTTGCATGCTGAGTCTCTTTATTTCAGGTGGTGGGTTTGCTGTATTTTCTTAAAGCGTTCTGTATTTCATATTAATGCCTAACTGAGCTACTTTCTATTAACTTGCACACGCCACCTAAGCTAATTGTGGTTATATTCGATGACATTTCGCGTTTGTGGCATGTTCTTAAAATCTATTTTCAGACGTCTTGAACCTATCGTGGATTTGTTGGCGATCAATTTAATTCATGTGCTCATTTAGTGAAGAGTTATGTCAGCATATCTGTATGCATTAGTCGATTTATTCTATTTGATATCATCGTTTCAAGTGATTGGCTGTTGGTTGATATTCCCGGTGTGGTTCCGATTGATGTGCATGTGGATAAGGTGCCTACCTGTCTATTACCCACTACCGGATCTATACTGGCTCCAGGAGACTGTTGGTCGTTGCTGGAGGGGACTGGATGCACGATGCTTGGGGCTGTGTTAGATTCCAAGAGGTTCCATGCACTCAGTGTGGAGCGGACTACAGACCAGCCACCGACTTGTGTGCGTTTGATTTCCAAATACAGCGTGCCTGCGTTTACCTGTGAGGGAGTGTGGGCCGGTTCCGTTGATGTAACCTGGATCCCATCCACATGTCTCCCGGTCATATTCCTTAGGGTTTACACAGGATATGGGATGAGTGAATGAAGTGGGAGGTGCAGCGCAAGCCACCCATGCTCCTTCTAGGCGCAGGCGTCCTGTGGCTGTCCCCGCGGAGGTCACAGTGGCAGGTAAATCCGGAACCGGATGCCGCCAACAACTAGCTCCCGTATCCTGGCACGTATCCACGTTTGTAGTGACTCATGCCTGTCTCCTGATTGCGAGGCTCACATGTGACTGTCTGGCTATGCAATGTCGCACTTGTCAGACATCCAGTTCACTATGTCAAGCTGCGCTACATCAACAATTGAGTCCTCACCAGACTGGTTGACTGCCTGTGTGACTGTTATCCATTGCTTGAGACTTCTGTGCATACATGCAACCTGCTGAAGTGACTGCTGTGCAGATACTGTGTATGTGATCTCTGTGCTTAACCGAATCCTACCTCCAGTACTTCTATCGCGTTTGAATTCCTCAATAAGTGATTCTGTTGACAATTCTTTGTGTTCTCCTACTTGTGGATGCTTTTTACATATGCGGCATTGGTTTGGTACACTAAGAATTCTACAGGAACTAATACCACTCTGGACATATGCGGCAGAAGTTGACTGTATGCCTCTTTTATTGCTGCAATTGCTTTAATATCCATTCAACCGCAGTATAAACCTGATACCTAAACCCTTTCTTTCCCGAAGCTAAACTGGCGTCCAGAAAATGGATATTATCCATACCAACACGATGGTTAGCAGTAGACCCGACCCCATCGCTGCAACACAAATATACTACGCCAATAATGTCTAATTACAAGTACTCACACAACAGAGGCGCGAAGAACGCAGATGTTACACAGACAAAATTCGTGTGCGCCTGTGGCGCGACGTATATTGGTCGAACGGCGCGGCAGTTATCCAAATGCGTGAACGAACATTGCCGTCGTTGGCTGCGTCAAGGGGAGCGCGGGGACCATTAGTAGCGCCATTCTGGCCCATATTGTGGACACCGGCCATGAGGCGGATTGTGAACGCACTTTCCGAATAGTTTACAAGGTTCCGCAGCACCGAACGAAAGGTTACCGCCTTCGTACGCTTGCGAAAGCTGAAGCAATATGCATTCGATTGTTCCAGCCGTCGTTATGCTCACAGAAGAAGCTGGTCCAGGCTCTCCAGCTTCCCTGACCAGCGAAGAGGGAAGACGCCCAGGTCGACTGCCTTCGGTCAGACGCGGTAGCAAACAACTAGCCCTCTAAAACCTGATTCGTTTTCTCAACTCTGACATCGACCTTCACGTGACCAAGTCGTTTTGAACTAACTGAGTCGATTTCTCTTTGTAGCCTCTATATGATTGTAATGGTCTGATGATGAATCACTGAAAGCAATTGCTCACCAGATGGTCTTTGGTTCTAGAGACAAAATATAATTGCAGGTTATTTCAACCTACTAAGGATATACTCATCTTCTCAGACATCTTCGTATATAAACTTCCTTCCTTACTTCTGTCAAAGTTGGTGGTTGGACACAATGGGTTACTAAGCTAACTAGGTCGACTAATATTTTAGACTTGATATTTACATTGGGTATTGCCAGCGCATAGATAGACAATTTCCTCGGTAACAACCATAAAGTGACACGCCTCACCTTCAGTGTTAAAATGGCCATCAAAGAACTCGTTTTCTCGCTACGCAATCCAGAGGATAAACTGAACACACTTTCGTCAAATAATCCGATTGGGATGCCCTCTTCCTCTCCAACAATGCTTGTATAGCTGTGAGTTACTTCTATCACTAGGTTCATCAAATTACAACCCTCTTTTCTCCACAGTGTGGAGTTGGTTAGTTGTTTATATAATATTGGGGGGGGGTGTGGAGGGGGGGGGGGGGGGGGGGGGGGATATATATAAAAATATATATGTGGAGGGGTGGTGGGGGGGGGGGGGGGGGGGGGGGGGGGGGGGGGGGGTGGGGGGGGGGGGTGGGGGGGGGGTGGGGGGGGGGGGGGGGGGGGGGGGGGGGGGGGGGGGGGGGGGTGGGGGGGGGGGGGGGGGGGGGGGTGGGGGGGGTGGGTGGGGTTGGGTGGGGGGGGGGGAGGTGGGTGGGGGGTGGTGTGGGTGATGTTTGGTATGGGATGGTAGTGGGGGTATAAAAATTGTGTTTGGGGGGTTGAGGGGTGGGGGTTTGTGGGTATGGGGTGGGGGGTGTGGTGGGGGGTTGTAGGGTTATGGGAGTTGGTGAGTGGGGGGTGGGTTTGGGGTGGGTGGGTTTGTGGGCAGGGGGGGGTGTGTGGATGGGGGGGGGGTTGTGGGTTGTGATTGTTTGTTTCGTTGTTTTGGGGGGGTAATGTTAGTAATGGGGAGTGGTTGTGGGGTTGGTGGTTTGTGAAAAGTATTTAATAATACAATCGTATTCAACTCTCTTCCACTCTGTAAGTTAAAGTTATACTCTTTCCGCCATAAAATTGGGAGGACCTGACATACCATTGTCTCTTTGGAATATGTTCACCACTTCACTGGAATCGAGCCACTTTCAAGATCAATGAGAAACTTCATTTATCGTCTCTCGCCACAAGGTCGGCCGAAAACAGAAAATTGATAATAGACCAATCCGTCACACGCCTAGAATCTCCAGATTATTCGAAAAACTGGTTAAAAATGGCATTAAGATTGGCATCAACTCACTGGAGCTGGTTTCCCAAACAAACGGTCGTGCACAATATGCAAGCAGTATTAGTTAAACTACAATGACTCAGGACAGGTAATCTTACTTCTAGACTTGGACATGTAAAAGAAGTTCGATTGGGTGCTTCACAAACGGTTAAATATAAAGAGAGCTTCCTTCGGAGTTAAGAATCCACTATTCGGTTAGCTATCTTCATACCTGAACGGTCGCTGTGAAATAGCCACCTTAGGCGACCATCGCTCTTCCAAGCGTTGTAAAAGGAAGTGTGCTCGGTTCACTAACCTTCTTGCATAACGTCAAGGACATCTGTATAAATATTAGATATGGCATGCCGATCATACTTATCGACGACAAAAAATGTCTACAAGTTCTGACGACCTAACCTTCAGGAAGCACTGCTACTCAGCCAGGATGACATTTCTTACCTGTCCATGGTGATCAATTTTTGTCGGTCCCTTGAGTGGTCGCCCCAGACAGGTTTGACTGTGTCATGTGTCGTGGTAGTTTGATGCCCGAAGGACCTAGCACACTTAACAATGAAAGCCTCTGTGTGAAAATGTCTAAAAGCGACCATGGAACCAAATACCTATGTATCTATAACTTTTCTGAGCAGATTGAGTACCAGACAGCACAAGCCAGACAATCCGTGGCTAATATCTCGCACAAAGTGCACGCAATCTAAGCCATAGCAGAAATTTTTAAAATTCTCACTCGTCCCATCCTGGAGTATTGCAGCATATTACTTGGCAGCATGAAGAATCCCGATAAAGGAGCTATAGAAAACATACAGCGGTCATTTACTAGATACTAGCATATTTCTTTACACTGATGATAGAAGAAAGCATATCCGAAGAAATAGCTCAAGTGCTATACGACATGTGGATGACATCCTAGCATTTTGTTCATCTGAAGAGTAGAGCACACAGCTGGTGACGCTTCTAAATGCTGCGCATACAAACTTGATGGTCTCTTGTGAAGTTGAGCGGCAAAACCCTCCCTTATTTGGAGGTCCTCATCAGCCGCAGAGAAAATGGACTGGTTAAAAGGGCCGTCTGCAGAAAAGCTACGTGGTCAGTAACTGCATTTTGCCAGCTTTACACTAATGCGGTGCAAACGGACGCTGGTGAAGACCTTAGTTAGTCGTGCCAGACGAATATGTTCGAGCGGTTGTCTGGCCCATGAACTGGAACTGACTACTATTACATTAATTGCAAATGGACACCCTCGTCAATTCATCGAGAAGCATGCTCAAATCAGCCGAACTAGAGAGCGAGTGCCCACCGTGAGTAAAAGGAACATGTTCTTAGAGCTCCCCTTTAACGGTGACTACCAGGCGACTAATCGCTGTCATGCAGCGCACCTACTGGGCTGTCAAAATGAACATTATCGATCGAACCCACAAGTTACCGCTGTCTTTACTAAAGGGAACTCAGCCTATTGGGGCCAACTCTCAGTGCGTACACCAATTCATATATAAATACGTAGTTAGTTACATAGCCAGAACCGATACGACTTTGAGTGCCCGAATGAAGGAGCACGTTCCAAAATGGCTCAAGCATGAGGCCGCTCAACAAGCATGCCCAACTCAGGTTGCGCATTCACACAGGCTGCCAGCACCTTTAATCGGCAGGTATTTACTGATCTCAGGCCACCGGATAGAGGTTAGCACGGCACTCAAAGTCCTGCTGCGGCATACCAATACTCGGATTCGTTGAGGCTGTTGCAGTAAACCGGAGCTTTGTGTTCAAAAGCAACTATCGATCAATGTCAGGTTGCCTTGGACGTAAATCAGGTTTTCCCTTTCGTTTGTTTACACGTTTGCATCCATTAACATTTGTATTTTATTTCGTTATCCTTTTCGGCACTGAAGAGACGATACGAAATGCATGCGTCTGTCGACCTTCGTCTTCTCACTTTGCATTACAAATTGTTGAGCGGAACTAACTGATTTTAAATACCTAATGGACAAAAGCTATCAGGAGCGGTACCAGCAACTTCATCTCGATCCGCTTTGTCTGCAAAGACTAAAGCAAAACTTGATACTGCTGCACACTTTGATTTATGGCAATGCCTATTACAGCATAGTTTCATTTGAGAGCTTAGTAACAAAGACGACGCTGGTTATACCATGATGCTGAATAAATGTGCGGTTCAACTTCCTTCTGATCAGATATGCTGCTCTGCGGGTCGTGTGAGAGTGTGCAATCCTTTGATAGTAAGCTGGGGAGCTACTCCGAAATGGACACGACTGTGACATTTTGTTCGTGGGGTAGATCACCTGAGGATCAATTTAACGTAGGTCCAGACATCTAATAGGTGAAAAACCAAAAGCATACGCAGTGTGAGTAGGCCTGAGTGTTTACAATATCCTCAAAGTGCACCAATGCCTTCAAGCTTCAAGTAAAGCACAAACCTGCGACTGCCAAAAACACGGAGAAATGCAAGAACACAACTTCAGATCACTCATGCAAGGGCATGGTATTACCAGTACATATATGTGATCTGTGCAAAGTATAGACTTAGCTTCTCACTCGATGAGAAATATACCTATTATTATTATTATTATTATTATTATTATAACCTTTCACATTCCTGTTGTATGGTTACGGCGTTACAAACATATATCAAGGTATCCGAATCTATCGCATTTCGGTGGACAGATCAAGGTTATAGGTGGAACTTCGTCACATCCAGACTCACTGAGACAGGTATCACACACCTGAAAAAGCACTGCACGGCCGTTTCATCCTTTCGGGAAACGTCAGCAGTGCGCATTTCATCTGACCCTGATAAAGCCCGAACCCGCAAACCGACTGTTACCATTCAACTCCCCCTACTACTCTTCTAGGATCAAGGTTGTCATATGCTGTGATAAAATTCCCATCATTCAAAGAGAGAATCACATCGGTATATAAAGGTCATTGATTATGGATGTGCAGAGTAATGCGCGCAAACTTGCTGTAATTTTCGCTGTTAATTTCACTGAGTAAACGTCTGTTATTGAAGGGTTGACTTCTGCGACCTTATACTTTCCGACAATGAAAGACACGGCTCAGTAGTCATGGTTAGAGCGCGTTTCGCTTCAAAAGGCAACAAACCGAACTCGAAGAGCATATGGTGGGTCTAGTTCTTAATCACTATTTGGGGATTAATAAGACTTCCAACTGCTGGCGATTGATGGAAAGACATGAGAATCTAGTCCCTAGGTAACGGTGACGAGTACCGGCGTGTATCCGAGGGGGCAGTGAAACAGCATAGATTCCGGGACTTCAGTTGAGTTCCATAATCATCCCGACTGAAGGAACATAAGTAGTTGGTAAGTCAAAGAACTCCACGAGATATTCACGTACTTTTGACAAATTTGCAAGTAAATCTCTAGGTGGAACCGACACGAAACGGGTATGCAAACAACTGTATGGAGAGCATCCGACAATTTCAGCTGCTCTCTCTAACCAAGTCTAGTTTCATTGGAAAACACAGAGTTGTGCAATGTCCAACCTGACAGAACACATAACTGTGTTGTTCTACTTTTTGTCAAAATGTTCCTTTCTTCCTGCGGCATATTAGCAGAAGTGTGTTGCTCACCTTCAACTACTAGGCCACGATGATTATGACGCGATGATTCTCCCTTATCCTCTGATCTTCATGGTTTTCTGTTGGCTCTTTGTCTAGTTGTTAGACTGTTGAGATCACTGTCATTGGGAATTCAAGTCACTCTCTTGATGTTACCAGAGAAATGTAAGTTAAACCTCTTCTAGCCGAATTTATTTTATTTATCGTGTTTAAAAAATTAATTATTTGTGATTTCACTAGCATGTGGATGCAAACTTAGGTGGAGATGGTTTGATGGTAAAAGATGCTTTAGGGGGAAATTTAGTTACAACGCGAAATCGCGACATCCGGCACAAATGGGCAAAATGGCTACAGAACAAATGTTCCCAGCTCATCTATGTAATTGCTTTATTGATGCGGCAATTGGTCAATTCCTTCCTGTCCATCATCCCAATTACAACGAATATTTCGTAACAAGCAAGGAAAATCAAATAAGTAGAAACAGTGTTACTCGTGAAATTTTTTAAGGCAGTTCTTATTCTTCCTCAGGTATAGGTGAGCTTTGCAATTTGTGCACTTGATCAATGTTTGGCCCTGACAAGTTGGGCGTCTGCATCGTTGCCGTGCACTAACAACCACTGGCCAGAGACCCACAGAATCTGACAGGATTTCCAATGATGCAATAGCCCTAGTTGGACCCAGGTATTTCATTATTTTGAACCCCGTTTCAATTGATGATAAAGTCCCTCCCCTCTTCCTCTTCGACATTTCTTTGCTTTGCATGAGGAGTGCCTCTGCAATAGATAATCTAACTGCGAACAAATCTTTCTGTTTCTATAGAGGCATAACCAGTGAGTCGCAATCACGTCGGTAGAGTAATCAGCTGCTGACTGATACCATGTGGACAAAAATAAAAAAATGTGGTAATATTTTCGGGATCAGATATGGGTCTGACAAAAAGCAAGCAATGCATCCATGAACTTATTATTAGTAGCTTTGGTACACGAGGAACAAGACCAATTTCTCCTATGAATATATCAAATGAATACACAAGTCCTTTTGTCTCGCAAAGCACATTTGTATGGTTTCTTGGAAATATATTGCTTCAGGCTGGACCTCCCTTTAAATGATACCATTTACTCGTCAACTGCAAACATTTGTTCTTGATAGGTACTCGGAAACTTTGTAATCTATGCATAGGAATTCCATTTATAGGACTGTGATGGGCTTGGGCAAGCAGAATAACGATACGATATACATGGCGAAGCAAGCGAACAGAGCAGTTGATTGGATAGCCACGCATAGTTAGTCTATGCGCTGATTGATTCGCTGCTAGAGCGGGGTTGTCTAACTGATTCAAAAGAAGAATCTCATGGATACAGAAGCGTCGTTAGTTATGGAAATGACTTATTTATTTACATCGATGTTCCTACATGCTTGTTATGCTGTCATTTTTGTTGAGCTCGGTTTGTCGAATAAACCGTTTGTCGCTAAAGGACCGAGATCTGCGACATGGTGTCAGAGAAAACTAAGCCAAGATCACCCCATGGTGTTCAGTTGCTGATTGGATTGCAACCAGCTGTGCAACCACCTGCCCCACTAAACATTAACAGAATTTCGCCAATAATTGGAGAATCTGGAAAAGCAAGTGGATCGATTTCTGCATGCTATTGCGGCTGTATGAACGATTGATGGCCTACCGATTGGCGACGATTAGACATACGATCGGAGCTGAAGCACGTCGCGTCTTGGAAAGGATGCAGTACTAAAAGGATGAAGACATAGCTGATCTGGAAACTGTCATCCGAAAATCCAGCGATTTCTGCGAAGGGCAGACTAACGTGACGTATCAGCGCTGTCATTTGTTTACCCGAAACCGGCGACCAAACGAAACTATGGAGAACCATGTTACGGAGCTGAATTTCGAGGACATGTGGAGTAACAAGCAGCAAAAGGAAAGGGGAAATCTCAATTCCTTCCCTAGCAATACGTAGTTTCATGACGAAAAATGGTGAAACATAGGCATTGTTTCATCGTGCATAGTCTCTACGCGGAGTCTTTCGATAATTTCAGCGAATAAGATTGAAAATGCAGTTGCAGCGAACTCGTAATGAGTTTTCTATCCCCAAAGATAATAGGAGGAAGACTAATTATATTTATTTATTACCGACGGGGTCTAAGTGAGATCAGAAATTCAGTTCAGCCGACTGCTGTACGGGGCTGATGGTTAAGCAAGAAAAAACCAGTCGGTGCTTTTGTTCCACAGCGATAGGGGGTTTCTTATTGGAAAATACTTCGTTTAGCTTAACGATGTATTCAATCTGGACAAAAGCAGGGAGCAGGGATATATAACAGCTGGGTTCCCTGTACAAATGGACTGTCTAATAGGTCAGGCAGACCAACTTTTAGTGCTAAATCCGATTCGAGTTGATCTGAGATGTTCACAAGAGGTTAGTGATGGTCGTGTACACCAAATCGGTCATTTTGTCGCGCGTCGCCACGGAGATCTGAAGTGAAAATTGGAAGAGATTAAAAATTGAAAATGGTGTCTGTAGTCTGCAGTTAAGTGTGTACTGTGTAAAGCATATTCGGTGTAGGAAAGCAAGGTAGATTGATGGGCGAAGGAGCGTTGGAGGGCCTCGGGTTCAAAGTATAGCCGAGAAGAACTCGAAAGAGAATTAGGTAAATTCGATTGCACAGTTTAAAGCAAAAGTGATGGAGAAGAATCAAGGATATGGACACAGAAAGCATCGCATAGATTGTAGGCAATAGTGAATGTGTGGAGACTATCAGCTCTTGTGGAAGAGCACCAGCGATCTCAAATTCCAGGAGTGACGTTGACAGAAACACGCCGGAATCCACGCATCCAGTGAGCATTCCAGATTGTTGTCACCTCTTTTTCAACGGAATTCGTTAGTCGTGCAGGCACCACCAGGCCTTAGTGAACGCTAGCAAGTGGCTGTGACGGTGCGGCTCGCTATCCATTGTTACGTACTTTATCACAATGTAACGCGCAGAGTTGGGCGATGTCCCGCAGCAGAATCACTCAGGCTGCGTTGGCGCGAAGCAGTTTGTGCTATGACTTTTTAGAAGGGGACCACATTAATTTAAAGGAAAATGGTCACAATAGAAGCCGCATTCGTCAAGCGTCAAAGTTACCCTTGTAAAAAGATCCCTTGGTTAAGGAGAAAGAAAAGCTGTCTGCTGGATACATTGAAGACGCTCCTTAAGCGCAAAAGCATAGTCGTGTGCGCTACAGGATCAAGTACAAAGGAAACAACACAAGTAGACCTGCCAAACACTGGTTTGAAGTCCACGAGGCTGCTGAAAGTGATATATAACAGGGCAAAAAAGCTGAAGAAAGGAAAAAGAGGGGACTAAACAAGAAAACCGGAAGATGCAAGTTGTGGGATGATGTAAACATTTCGTGCATGCTCACCAACCGAAACTATGGAAGTAAAGATGGTCAGGAAGAAGGAAAGACAAAAGGGATCGATTGGTGACAAACTAGTGCCTAAGCAGCATGCTCTGCTCCACCATGATATAGTCGGCTGTTTCTGTACACAGAGCTGTGGCAGTTCATGATAAATATATATATATATATATATATATATATATATATATATATATGCAGGAGAGCCTATGGTGCGCTGAGGCTGGTGGTGGCTAGATCCTGACAGATGGTCTATCCACTGTTGCTACTGTTGTGCCATTTGCTCATGTCTTGGGCGCCTCCTCGTGGCGACCGCTGGGTGGGAGTTGGGTTTCGCCCTTCTCCCTGCTAAGATCCAGGACACTAATCCGCATGAGTCAGTGAACTGACCATGTGCTACACCCGCTGCCTTTCCGGTGTACATTTAATCGAAGGCTTTGGCTGAGGACCCGAGTCGTTCTCCTATCAGGTGTGGGCGCCCTGAAAGTATCCTAGTCCATGCTCTTCGGAGGTTAGGAAGTGGTCGATGGCCCTCTTCCCGTAAAACCTAGCCACGGGAGCCAACATGTCTACGGGTTATAAGCTCACAGATCGATTGGCGTAAAGCGCGAGCGCCACGCATTGTCTCTGACGGTGGGAGGGCACCTATGGGTGTTCAATGGTTGGCTACTGCCCGCCTCAAACCAGGCAGCCCCTGATCAAATTGGTGCAAAACCCTCCTGCGTCTGGCCGTGCTCGCAGGTATATCCTATTACGGTCGCAAAACATATATAAATCGTTCCAGTACCTCCAAGGCTGCGTGTGACGGCCGTCAAGCAGATTCCAATCTGTCTCTGCAATCACATTCCCGAGCTGGATCTGCTCCCCACTGCCTTGTGAGTCAGGCTATTGAGCCAAACGCTCCAGACGGAGTCCCTCAAGCAAACCTCAGAAGCACAACGACCATCTGCGTACGATTGCCCAAACAGTGCAATCGTATGCCTGCGCGCAAAGCACTCAGCATCAGGTGCCGGAACGTGCGCACACTACTGGACCGGAACTCCAGTGAGCGCTCGGAGCGACGCACTGCACTCGTCGCGATGGAACTGGTGCGCAACCACATCGATATTGCGGCGCTCAGTGAAACCCGGCTCGCTTAGCAAGGTAAGTTGCATGAAGCAGGTGCTGGGTACACATTCTACTGGGTGGGCAACGCCGCCTCAGCACCACGTGAACATGGGGTCGGATTTGCAATATCCGATCGCCTCCATGGCCTGCTGGTAGGTGAACCAACACGCATCAGCGCGCGACTGATGACTGTTCACCTACGAATCGGAAGACGTAACGTTGCCACTTTTATAAGCACGTACGGCCCGACCATGTGTTATCCTGATGACACGCGTGATCAACTCTACACTCAGCTATCCTCCGTGATACGGTCTGTGCCGAGGAACGACCGACTATTTCTGCTGGGTAATTTCAACGCGCGCGTTGGACGTGATGCATCGATGTGGACAGATGTTGTCGGTTGGCATGGCATTGGTTCAGCGAATGCGAACGGTGACAGGCTGCTCTCACTATGTGCCACTCACGGACTGAGGATCACGAACACTCGGTTTGCATTGAGTGCGAGTGATATAGCAACTTGGGCGCACCCATGGAGTGGTCACGCTCACCTGCTCGACTATGTCATCGTACGTCAGCGTGATATGCGTGAAGTGCGCATGACACGTGTACTGCGTGGAGCTGAGTGTGGCACTGATCACAAATTGGTGAGGATCAAACTGTACATATATTTTTGTAAATATATATATTGCACTCCCGTCGTGAATCGGCGTAAATTTAACATTCTCTCCCTTGGTAATATGGCGAAACATACTGAGCTGGGGAAGGCGATGGCTGCTGCATAGATGTGTGATGTGGAATGCATAGCCACAGTGGGCGACTTGTGGCACCACATTCGCGATCAGGTGACAGCTGCTGTCGAGAAGACCATCGGGCGCACAAACTGTAAGCGGCCTGATTGGTTTGATGACAACAATGCGACGATTGGCGCACTTGTGTCGGGGAAGAATGCAGCATTTGCTGCACATGTGGCAGACCCCAGTGACTTGGGGAAGTGTAGCCAGTTTCGGAAACTTCGACGGCAACTGACCCGAGAGCTCTGTCGCATTAAAAATGCATGGTGGACAGAGAAGGCGAAGCAGATGGAATGCTAGGCCGAATGCCGCCAACACAAGGAATACTTTGACTCCTTGAAGGCAGTGTACGGACCGAGATTGGAGCCGCTGAGGAAGCTGATCGATGGTAGTTCAGACGCTACCTGTACACAGAGTGCAGACATAATGCAGATCTAGCACAAAAATTCGAATGTCTCTTGAACAACCGTTCAGAGATCGGCGTTAAGTAGTACGATGTGAAAGCGAGTCTGGCGCACACGCGAACACTAGGTGAGACGCAGAGAACACTTGCTCTGCTACGAAACGGCAAGTGTGGTGGTGCCGACGGGATCCTGCCTGAAGTACTGAAACACGGCGGACCTGCGTTGGTGACTGTGCTGCACCACTTGGTGCAACGCGTATGGATTGAGGAGGAGGTGCCTCCTGAGCTGAAGGACGCCCTTGTGCTACCACTGTACAAGGGCAAAGGTAGCAAACAGTGTTGCACGAATTATCGTGGTATCAACTTGCTGAATTGTGTGGGCAAGGTGATTGCCCGAATCCTGCTCAACCGCCTCGTCAGTCAGGTTGTGGAACCTAACGTGGCGGAAGAGCAAGGTGGATTCCGTTCGGGTCGCAGCACTATAGATATGGTGTTTGCCGCTCGTCAGTTGCAAGAGAAGTGCAGAGAACGACACCAGCCGTTGTACTCGCTTTTTGTTGATTTCACCAAGGCATTTGATACGGTGAACCGCAAGGCATTGTGGCTGGTGTTGGGGAAGTTTGACTGTCCGCGCAAGCTTGTAAGTTTAATTGAAGGTCTGCACAGTGGTATGCGGGAAAAAGTGCAGCTGAGTGGAGAGACCTCGGATGACTTTGCAGTTGTCTCCGTTGTGAAGCAACGCTGTGTCTTAGCTCCTGCCCTGTTTAATATATATCTTCATGCAATGTTGTCTTGTGCTTTTGATGCGGCTTGTGCTTACGCTTCTCGTGTGGAGCACCGTATTGATGGTGGGTTGCTGAACATCTGTCATTTCCGTGCGAGAACCCTAGTGTGTGAGACAACTATCTGTATGTTGCTGTTCGCTGACGATTGTGCGTTGTTTTCACACAGAGCGGATGAGTTGCAGCACATGACTAGTGCTCTGGCTTCGATAGCGGCCAAATTTGGACTCACCATCAACACAAGTAAAACTGCCTGTCACTTTCAGACTTTACCGGAGGTGCAATCTTCAATATTGCCGCAAATCAGCATTGGTGCTGAAGTATTGGAAACCACCTCCCGCTTCTGCTACCTTGGGGGTGTGATGTCGACTGATCAGCAGCTACACAGTGAGCTTCGTATCCACGTGTCGAAGGCAGCGGCGGCATTCGGGAAGCTAGAGTACCGAGTGTGGAACAACCATCAGCTTACTGTTGGCACGAAGCTGATGGTGTACAAATCCATGGTGCTGTCCGTTCTTCTATACGGCAGTGAAACGTGGACGATGTACCGGCAGGATGTGCGATATCTCGAGCGGTTCCATCAGCAGTGCTTGCGACGGATTTTGCGCATCGGTTGGGACGACAGAGTTGCAGACACGGAAGTGTTGCGACAAAGTGGAGTGTATGCAGTGGACTGCATACTTTTGCTGAGATATCTGAGGTGGCTCGATCATGTGAGCCGTATGGATTCGACGCGGATACCGAAACGACTATTATATGCTCAGCTGAGTATTGGGAAGCGGCATGCTGGGAAACCAAAGTTGCGTTACCAGGACATGATCAAAGTGAGCCTCTCACGTTCTAAGCTTGATTGTAGATCATGGGAATCGAAGGCGGTTGATCGGCGTGCATGGAGCGATCTAATCAGGAAGGCAGTTGCCGAGGTGCGGGAGAAAGACCTCCTACATGCAGAGAAAAAGCGGCAAGTGCGGAAACGGCAAGCAACGATGGGTTGTACTCCATCGACATCGAGCGCATGGTGCTGTAGCACATGCGGTCGCGAGTGCCTGAGTCAGACAGGCCTGGTGAGCCATGAGCGAGGCCACTCGGGACCACTACCGAAGAGACGACGGGTCTTGCAGAGAACGTAGGCAGAACCGGCGCAGGGTTTGTAGGCACCCTGCATTCGAGTTACTAACCGCGTGCTTGCATGCTCAATCTATTTATTTCAGGTGGTGGGTTTTCAATTTTGTCCTAATGCATTTCTTTCTCATATAAATGTCTACCTGTACGCTCTCCTATAAACTTGCACACGTCGCTTAAGCCAATTGTAGTTAATTTCGATAACATTTTCGTGTTTGTGGCGTTTCCGTAGAATACACTTTCCGACCTTGTGAACTGACCTTGGATCCTTTGTAAACAACTTATTGCATATGTTCATTAATTTAGGATTTATGTCACCGTTTCCTTATGCATTACTCGATTTATTCTATGTTATCTTTTTCTCAAGTGATTGGCTGTTGCTTGATATCCCCGGCGTGGCTGCGCTTGCTGTGCATGTTGACAAGGTGCCTACCTGTCTATTACCCACTACCTCGTCCATACTGGCTCCAGGAGACAGTTGGTTGTTGCTGAAGGGGACAGGGTGCACGGTTCTTGTGGACGTGTTAAGATCAAAGAGTGGTTGCATGTACCCAGTGTGGAGCGGACTACGGTCCAGCCACCGCCTTGTGTGCGCTTGATTCCTAAAGACAACGTGCTTGTGTTTGCCTGTGAAGGAGTGTGGGCCGGCTCCGTTGATGGAACGTGACTCCCATCCACATGCCTCCCGGTCTTTTTCCTTCGGGTTTACACTGGATATGGGGTGTGTGGTTGGAGCTGTGGGTGATGCAGCGTAAGTCACCTATGGTCCCTCTGTGGGCACAGGCGTCTCGTGGCTTGCCGCAGTGACAGGCAAATCCGAAACGATATTATATATATATATATATATATATATATATATATATATATATATATATATATATAAACGCTGCGCCGGTTCTGCCTACGTTCTCAGCAGGATCCGTCGTCGTTTTGATGCTGGTTCCGAGTGGCTTCGCTCATGGCTCACTAAACCTGCCTGACTCAGGCACTCGGGACCGCATGTGCTACAACACCACGCGCTCATGTCGATGGAGTACAACCCAGCAGTGACTGCTGCTTCCGCACCGGCCACTTCTTCTCTGCATACACGAGAGCTTTCTCATGCACTTCGGCAACTGCCTTCGTGATCAGGTCGCGCCATGCATGCCAATCAACCGTCTTCGATTCCCATGACCTGCAATCAACATTAGAACGTGACAGCCTCATTTGGATCATGTCCTGGTCACGAAGCTTCGGTTTCCCCACATGCCGCTTTTCTGCACTCAGTTGGCCCTATAATAGCTGCTCCGATATCCGAGTCGAATCCATACACCACACATGACCGAGCCATTTCAGGTGTCTCAGCAAAAGTATGCAATCCACTGCGTACATTCCACTACAGCGCAACACTTCCGTGTCTGAAACTCTGTCGCACCAACAAATGCGCAGAATCTGTCGCAAAGACTGCTCGAGATATCGCACATCCCGCCGGTACATCGTCCACGTTTCGCTGCAGTATAAAAGAACGGACAGTACCATAGATTTGCACACCAAAAACTTCGTGCAGACGGTAAGCTGATGGTTGTTCCACACTTGGTACTCTAGCTTTCATTAGACCCGACCCAAACTCTTCTTACCATATGGGTCACGTAAAGCTCGAGCTTTTATTCCCAATAAATACAATGTTCCAATGTATCCTGTTACCGTTCGCATTCGCTGAACCAATGCCATGCGAACCGATAACATCTGTCCACATCGATGCATCATGCCCAACGCGTGCGTTGAAATCACCCAGCAGAAATAGTCGGTCACTCCTCGGCACAGACCGTATCACGGAGGATAACTGTGTGTAGAATTGATCATGCGTGTCAACAGGATAACACATGATCGGAACGTACGTGCTTATAAAAGTGGCAAACTTACCTCTTCCAAGGGGAGTACAATCATCAGGCGCGCGTTGATGCCAGAAGGTTCACCCATCAGCTGGTCATTTAGACGATCGGAGATTGCAAATTCAACTCTATGTTCACGTGGTGCTGAGGCGGCGTTGCCCACCCAGCCATTATCTTGCTCAGCGAGTCGGATCTCGCTGAGCGCCGCAATAGCAATGTTGTAGTGTGCCAGTTCTATTGCGACAAATACAATGCGTCGTTCGCGACGCTCACTCGTATTCTGGTAGGATAAAATGCGCACGTTCCAGCACCCAATGTTGCGTGCTCTGCGCGGAGGCATACGATTGCATTGGCAGGCAACCGTATGGCAGGTGACGTCCTAGATTGGAGGAAGTAGTGGGTTAAGTGAAACGGGGACGGGGAGAGTATGTGCAGGCGGAGAAAAAAGGAGGCGAAGGCAGTAGCATATTCTCGCTTATCCACCCCGCTGTATGCAGATAAGGCGACCCTCTTCCTAAGGCCACTGCGCGACGGCCGATGTAACATGGATTTATTATTATTAGCGTGATCCATGGTTTGGGGGGTTGGACTAGGATCCTGCCAGGGCGCCCACACCTGACAGGAGAACGACTCGGGTCCTCAGTCAAAGCCTTCGACAAAGTATACACCCGAAACGCAGCGGTCCGGAAGCCATAAGTCAGTGATCCGACATATGAAATTGTGTCCTGGATCTTAGCTAGAAGAAGGGTGAACATGTCAACATTTCAACACCCAAACTGAGCCGACAGCATTTCGATTTATTAAAAATACTAGGGGCTTGTTTTCAAAGGGTACTTGAAATTGGGGCATACGAAGAACTTCGTAAACTAGTTGCGCAAGTATTCCTAACGGACAGTTCGCTCATGAATGGGTTGGAAAGTAGGAAAACAAGAAACGAGCCGCTTACTTCGAAGAGACACACTTCATCTCGGGAGCACAAGTCGTCCACCAGCCGAATCCCTCGTTGACCCGATGGACCTCGACCCAAGGGCACCGTGGCGAGAAGTACGACGTTCGCGGCAGCTGCTGGCTGTGAGATTTGCCGAATCAGCTGTTCCAAATGGCGTTGGAAAGGGGTGGATAGCAGCTCCATTTTGCCAATCTCATCAATCACACAAACACGCAACGTCCCAATAGAATAGTGGGAGTTTTGATCTTCCAGAGCGGCACGACAGGACTAAGAATTGAGTGACATGGTGAACAACAATACGAAGACGAATAGCATCAGTTTAACTATTTCAGGCATCGTTACAATGAGTGAATGGCAGAAGTGGAATTAAGAATCGAAGTATATATTGTCTTCACAGAAAAATGGTACCAGTTGACATGTAAATTGATAGCCGTCGCAGGCTGATAAGATACTCTAGTGTAGAGATTAGGCTTTCAAACAAAATGCCTTGGTTGAGGATCCTAATCATTATACTGCAAAGGGTTGGGCGCCATGGCGCCTTAGGTGCTGGTAGTCATAGTTAGATAGCAACAAAACCCCGGATTTATGATGAGAACGATGAGAAAGCGAACGCGACTGTATGCTAAAATTGCCTGAGCTTTGTGCTACGCTCAGTATGCAAAGTTGCAACGCGGCTTGCTAGGCTCAAATACATAGAGTGTCGTCCACATAAAATGAAGCAGAGTAAAAAACATGGGAGGCTGACTAGGTTAGTTGATCTGATATCCACAAAAGCTGTGAAACCTGCAGTGACCGAACATAATTCATCAGTTATGCCAGAAAAGGCATCGATCAGACACACAAACAAACAAAACAAAGCACTTTGGTCCCTTCGGTAATTAACGATGATGCAATGAGGCTGGACCGTACAGTGGTGGGATGATTTGCCTACCTGAGAGATCCATCGAGCTATGCTGGGTGGTACTATTTTACACCTTCAGAGCCACTCATACCAGATTGATCAATGGTTAGACGCCAGACAAACTCAGCCTCCTGGTCCTCCAGGTTGGGGGTTGGAATGAGAGTGGCTTCTTATTTCTTAAAACGGACTACTAGTAGCTCACCGCCAAACCCACTGCCTCGTGGTCAGGTTCTCAAACCAAAGGCTTTGGTTGGGAACCCTAATCATTCTCCTGTCTAGTACCTGGGCAACCTGACAGTATCCTGCCCACGCAACACTATGAAACCTTCATTAAACAATTTCTTGATGCTATGGCCGTCAAAGATGATAATAAACGGCGCCCTAGCTGCCGCATCAAGCAGAGTGGATCAGGGTTTGGATCCCACTACTCAAGTCTTCCGTCCTATTATTCCTCCTCACGCTTTTTCACTCTTATCGTCCCGTTCCAACCTTACTTTAAAACCCCTGTTTTCAACCCTGAATCTTGGCCCTCCCCCACCTTGCTTTGATAGGCGTTTAGCTTCTAGTTTCAACTCACATGCAAACGCGGAACGTCACTCCTGCCCTGTCGACAAGCCCATGCCCAACCAAGCGATCAAGCCCAGTTCATTGGCTTCCATTTGGAGCCCTCGAACCTCGTTCAGATTGGCATGCCTCGATGTACGCACATAGTTACCGATCGGTCGACAGACAGCACTTGCCCGAATACTAGAGCCCTTCTCGATAGATATCTGCTACTTATCGGAGACCCGCCTGCAAGACTGGAGCTCTGTGCTCACTTTACGATCCCATTCACGTGACGCCAGCAGTACTCTCTCATTGCGCCTATCCAGTGACGCAGCTTCAAGCACCAGGCAAACAGGTGTTGGAATTGTCCTAAGTTCCCGGGCTGGAGCTGCTCTGGTTGCTTGGATCCCAATCAGTAGCCGGATGTGTGCGGTCCGATTGCCTGGTTCGTTCAAAGCTTCGAAGTTGCGCGGGACTAATTGGTGTCTATTTGTTATCGCTGCCTATGCACCGACAAACTGTAGCGATGACTCGGTAAAAGACGACTTCTATCGCCAACTGAACGAGCCTCTTAGCCACAAACGAAGCTCAGACACTGTAGTGCTAGCTGGGGAAGATTATCCACTGATGAACTGCATCTGGGTGGCCAACACGGTGTAGGCTGCCGTAATGATAACGGTGAGCGGTTACTTCATTTGTGTGAAGATGCTCGCTTATTTCTTGCGGGCACTAATTTCCGACACAGCACCCGCCGGAGGGTGACTTGGCGCTCACCAGCCTCGAACCAGCCTTGGACGCAAATCGATCACATTGCGATCAGCTACCGCTGGAGAGGCTGCGTCCAGAACTGTTGCTCGATTCGGAGCACATGTGTGAACACCGACGATGCACTTGTATGTGCTGACCTGCGGATGCGTTTTGGCGGACGTCCACGACGACGCTGTGAGCGCATTGGCACCAGCAAACTGGCGAAGCCAGATGTTCTGAATGCGTATCGAAGTGCACTGACATGCCGGTTGAGGAAGTGCTTCCTAGAGACAATTGAACGTCACTATAGAACGTACTAGCAGCAGGCAAACCGTCATGTGTTAAAGTCTAATAGCCAACATGGACAATGGGCCTCTTTGCGGTCTCTGGAACTTATCGACGCTCGCCGGTACATTCCGGATGGAAGCGAACACAATGAGACTCGCAAAAGGTTTCGGGCGAAACTCCGTGCTAGCCTACAAAGAGACTGCGAATCCTGGTGGTCACTTCGTGTGTCAGAGACGGAAGTAGCCGCTGCCATTGATAACCACCGAAAGTTATTCCGTCTGATACGGGAAACGGGTAGCAGGAGACCTAGTGTTAGTGAAACAGTTTATGACGAGAGTGGACAGACTATCCACAACTTGTCAAAACGTTTGGGGAGCTGGGCTGAACATTTTTAAAAACAATTTAATCGGCCCGAGTTGTGAGAATTCCCACCGGCCAGTGAGCACCCTGCTCCCTGGGCTTTCCGTTTGGATCCGCCCTCTTGTTCAGAAGTCGAAGGTGAGATCGGACTAAAGAAGCTGAATAAAGCCGCGCGACCAGATGATTTTCATCAAGCCCTCTTCAAATTCGGAGGTCCAGCCCTTGTTAATGATTTACACAAATTACTAGTGAAACTATGAGAGCAGGAAATTGTCCCAACCGACTGGAGCCGCTCCATCACTGTCCCTATCTTCAAAGGTTTGCGCTCGGAATGCGGCAATCATAGAGGAATCAGTCTAATCCCCATCGCCACCAAATTACTTGTTTCTGTTATCCTTCACAGACTGACTGGCGATCGTGAAAGCCAGATTCGTGAGGAGCAAGCCGGGTTTTCTCGGGGTCATGGCTGCATTGACCACATCTTCACTTTGAGTCTGCAGTGGGAGCACCATCACACATATTAGCGGCCCACCGTTGTCGTGTTTCTCGACATCAAACGTGCCTTCGATTCGGCTGATCGATGGCCCGTGCAGTATACGCACGTAGCTAGGGCGGAGTGAGGGCTTAAGGCTAGCTATCTCCGTTCTTCAATATCGCTAGCGATGTGAGACAAGAATGCCCGCTGTCACCCTTCCTCTTCAAGTTCGCTATTGAGGAATTCATGGAAACTGCGTCACAGGACACGACTTAGGTGGGGAGCTGCTCCCAGGCGAACTTCTTGACTTGGGATATGCAGACGATCTTGCTCTCATCTGTGACAACCCACAAACTTGCCAATTTGCACTAGACAGAGTAGCACTGACTCACAGCGCTTAGGACTTTGATTTGCACCGAGATTGGCAGGGTCCGCCTACTGCGCTGACCTTTGGTGGGGATCAGCTAGAAGTCGTTCAAAAATTCAACGACCTGGGAAGTTGTTTCAGCGCCCTTGGGATCAAAGATGAGATCACGAACCCTATAGCAAAAGCTCGGGGCGCTTTTACTAACCTTCGTCACCTATGGCGTCGGCGCGACATCATTCTCGCCACGAACAAAAAGAGACTAGTTACGTTTGACTATAAGTGCCTTCGCAGTTTGGCGCACATCTGGTGGGAACACCGCTTGAGCCACGAGCATGTTCGACGTCTTGTTTACGGCACAGGACAAGGAGATGAACCGCTCAGCACCATCATTTCACGCACCAGGCTACGATGGCTCGGCCACGTATTACGCATACCAGCCCACCGACTCTCGCGACGTGCATTGTTTGCGCGCAGGAAGTGTGGATGGAAGAAGAGGAGAGGCGGCCAAGCGATGACTTGGTCGAGAGCTATTAAGGCCCTCATCTCGAAGCTGACCTTGGTTGGAGTGTCTCGGCTCCCTGGTTAGGGTCCCAAAGACGATGAACACGTTTGTCTGGACACACTTGCTGACATGTCTATGGACCGACCTCAATGGTATTCGTGCTGTGAGATTTGTTGTCTCTTTCCAGCCTTTGTAGCCTCCTCCTCCAACCACGATCTCATTTCTTAGCATAATATAGTTTTAGACAATTTTTGTTGCCTAGCAGCCAGCTGGTAACTTTCTGGTACGATGCCTATCCGTTACTAGTAGCTCTGCTGGCGTACAGCTGTTGCACGTATTTTTATTTTTCTTTATATATTGCGACACAGTAGTTGAGGAGTATTCCACCTCTAACTAACGTGTGTAATGCTAATGATGATCGATGTGCAGCCACGTAGGTCAACAACGATGGCAAAAATAGTTACTAAAGTTTTGGGAAATGTCCTCGAAAAGCATTCCCTTTGATAATAATCAAACGCTGTTCTAGGTATGCTTTAATTCAGTTATCAGACGTACCTCTAAACAAGGAAGTGCTAACCGCTCAAAGGATGCCAAATCGACCAAATAGGATCCAACCCGAGGAGCATTTCTGGGTAGATTTGGTGCATGGGCAGCAACTCGGGCCAGTGGAGCTCTGTTTGATTGATTCAAAGTTTGTCCGGCGGCATCACAAAGCTGAATAACATCGAAGCCAATTCGATGATTGGAATTCTGATCACGAAGCTCTTTCGTCACAAACCCAGTAACGGAAATTCTGTCATGATTGGCAAGCAATTGGCAAAGACGAGAAATCAAAGTAGTTTTCCCCGAGCCTAGGAAAGCAAGCAGAATAAACAGTCATTGGGGACAAATTCCACGTTGCAAACAACGGTAGAGTAAGCTGAGGAGTAAAAAGCAAACCTACCAAAGCTGTATCGACAAATAGCTCGAACAGTGGCGGTACTGCGACATTTCTACCAGAAACACTACTGTTCTAAGATAGAGAGGAAGAGCAACAGGCTTCAGAAAAACTGCCAGATTTCGACACAATGGCGAAGACGCAAGTCAGGCAGTTGTTATATTGTGACAATTCCATTAGGATAATCAAGCGTACCGCGCTGAGTGGACAACAGTAGCCTTCTGTGTGGTCAGCTAGACAGCCTAGTAGAGATGTTTAGGTGGAAGCAGCGTAGCTGGTAAGTACGTGCCGAGTCTGAAAGCACGTGATGATAGTTCGCGTGATGAGAAGGCATGCGGCACGCTTCTGTACTTGGGGATCTCTATTCGCACAATTGATACAAATTGCGCCGTTACGCAGCGAAGTTTCAAGCTATCAAGCAAGACCACCAAGCAGCATATCGAAGAAGTTACGAACCACAAAGTTAAACAGAAGAGCTGAAGTAAACAGGGTGGTCCCATGCGCACCAAAGGTGGAGGGACAGAAGATGGTTAAAGATATAAATGAACGAGAAGCCCCAAGCGAGGAGAAGGTGAAAGCAAAAGAGGAAACCAGCGTTTCCTTTTGTCGTCATGCAGTAGGCTGATCATAATGCCAGGAAGAGCATCAATCACAAAGTCTAGAGAGCAAATGATACTCGTCCGATGTTCATCCTGAAAGCGAAGTCTTGTTTGATATGCCCTACTTCTAGCCCTTGGTTCAACAGTTTGAGGAATAAAACAGCAGGAAACACGGCTAGCTGGGGAGCGCAAATTTAGAACCTCACTTGGGTCTATCTGAGACCTATCACATAGTCTCTGAAGAATCAGAATAGTTCGAATAGGTTTTCGACCGTATTATATTACACATCTGCAACCAAAATCAACTGCAGTGGGGTCTGGCGGATTTGAACCTCCTGATATAGGGCTCCATGGATTGGGGGCGCAAGACAGTAGACCATTGAGCACCGAATGGCGCCTTCGCATTTTCAGAGATGAAACGCCGCAAGTGCTCTATGGCGATTCAGACGAACTTATAACTCGTCACCTATTGCCTCTAATGGAAGAGATCCATCAACCTCCTCCAGCTTTTGATGAGAAAAACTATGATACAGATGGAAATTGGTTGTTGCCCGCTTGAAAATACTGTACGACCAGGACGCGTTTCGATTTAATTTCATCTCATCAGGTGGACATAGCAGACCTCGAACCCGCGACCGTTGGAATAGTAGCCGAAACCTCTACCCCTTTGGCTATCAGGTCGCAGAGGGCAACGCATGGCACAACCGTGAATGACTGATTGGATAGTCGATTTTGGACTATATATATATTATACATAATCTGTGGTACAGATATTGTGCCATCGGAATCATGGCTGAATAGGAAAACAACATGAATAATAAGAAAAGAGCAACAACAAATGTTTTTTGTCTATTTTACCACTCACAGTTTTTGAAATTTTTTTTCAGTTTGTTTTCTTTTTTAGGGGGGGAGGAAGAAGGGACACCGCAACAAACCGATGCACACGTCCGCCATTGACATCGATCTTGAGCCATAACTTCCAAGGTCTTCAACCAGCAAGTATCCTCATCTGTCGGACCCCAACCAGGTAGTCGACAACAACCGGCCGAGGCCAACTGGTTCGTCAACTTTTTCATGCGGATTCTCCATGTTGTAGACTGTCCACCAGTTCGTCTCTTCCAGCCCTATCCAGCAAGTGCAAACAACGCACGACGGGGGTAACGCTGAACAGGCATGCGCAATACGTGTCCCAACCACCGCAGTTGATGCAGCGAGATGAGCTCCTCGAGCGAGTGGCTTCCACGTCCCAAGACACGCTGTCTAACTTCCAAATTGCTTACGTGGTGCTGTCACCACACACGGGCAATGGACCGCAGACAGCGGTGCTCGAAGACGGATAGCCTGCGCAAGTCATCTTTACGAATGGGCCAGGTCTCGCATCCGCACAACAGTACAGCAAGAACAGTTGCACAATAGACCCGCCCTATGATGGAGAGACGAATGTCGTGGCAACGCCACAAATGCCTCAGCCTAGAAAAAGCGAGGCCTGCTCTCGAGATGCGCATCGAAATCTCGTCTCCAACAGCCCCGCCAGCAGTGATGCAACTTCCCAAGTAGACAAAGCTCTCCAAAACCTCTAGTGTCTCACGAGCAAGCGTGAGTGCAGGCAGAGGCACCTGCCAGTCTTGAAGGAGAGCCTTGCATTTGGATGGCGAAAAGTACATACCGTACTTTGATGCTTCAATCGCCAAGCGGTTTAATGCAAGTTGGACGACCTGTGGATCGTCACCCAGCAAGACGATATCATCAGCATAATCCAAATCAACAACTCGACTACCTAGGAGGAGCTCAACGACAGCGTTCAACGAATCGCTCAGAGCGTTCTTCAGGACATCCTCAGTGGCAAAGTTGAATAGGAACGGAGAGATAGGGCATCCTTGTCGAACTCCACTGGAGACCACAAAGGTAGGCGAAAGCATGCCATAAGCCCTAACCCTGCCCGAGGTCAGACTATATAGAGCGCGTAGTATGGAGACGAACTTCTCGGGGACACCGTTCCTCAGAAGGCAATGCCACAGTACTGTACGATCGACAGAATCGAAGGCTGCACGGATATCCAGGAACACAGCAATCGTTGGCCTCTGATACACATGGCGGAGCTCGAGGATCTGGCGAAGGGTGAAGATTTGATCGATGCAGCCGCGACCAGGGCGAAACCCAGCTTGTTCTTCTCGTTGCAACGATTCGCGTGTTGGGGATAGCCTGCGAAGTATGATGGACACCAGCAGCTTGCAAATGACGGGGACTAAGCTTATTCCTCTGTAGTCGGAGCAGATTGTGCGCAGGCCCTTTTTGAAGATGGTGACTACTATCGATTCACCCCAAGATGATGGAACTTTCTCTTTCGACCAAATTTTCGAGAACAAAGCGGTGAGTTCTCGGACCAGCGATGCGCCACCATCTTTAAATAGAGCTGGGTGAAGACTATCAGGGTTGGGGGCTTTATAAAGCTTCATGTGCCGGAGCTCCTGCTCGATTTTCTGGGAAGAGGGAGGGTCTGTTGGGGTAGACCACTCGGCCCCAGCGCGAGCGCCAGAGGTAGCAGATGGAGCTGGGGGCCAACAAAACTGCGAGCCAAAATGTTCGGCCCATCGCTCCAACCGTTGTTGAAGATTGGTGATTAAGGTGCCATCCTCTTCGCATATTGTTTCACTTATACCAGATCGAACACCTTCGGTGACTCGAATGAGATGGAAGAGTTTCCTGGTATTACCACAGAGACTAGCAAGCTCCATCTCCCTAGTACGTTCACACCACCAAGCTTCGCGGTCCATTTGCAGACTCCTGCGCAACTCTCGACCAAGGTATTGGCGTTCCTCACTGTGTCTGGAATCCGATGGGATCAAGCGGCGTCTGTCCATCAGCGACAAGCAGTCGGCGGAAATCCAATGTTTCGGTGGGTGACGGGTAACTTCACAAGTGTCGATACTGGCGGAAACTAACGCATCTTTGATATGTGCCCACTGCGAATCGAGATCACCGTCAATAGTAGAGCCAAGCAAGGTTGACAGTGAGGCTTGGTACCTGGTTAAAATCGCAGCGTTTTGTAGATTCGCGACGTCCGGTCGGTAGTGGACGCGCTTAGGTGATCTTCCGAAACGCATGCAAAGCTTAGCACGAACCAATGCGTGATCAGAGTCTAGAAAAGTTGACCAGTACGATCGGCAGTCCGTTACGCTTCAGCGCCATCTGTAGCTGATTGCTATGTGGTCAAGCTGGGAGCACTCTTGCGTTTGTGAGGGCGGGCGCCAGGTAGCAGTGTGTCTCCTCGAGTGTCGAAAACTAGTGCACGAAAGAAACAAGCGATGATCAGAGCAAAGAGCAAGCAATCTGTCTCCATTGTCTGATCGACTGCCACCGAGACCAAAACTACCCCCAATGTGGTGCTCGCTTGGTAGAAGGTGGCCAACCCGTGCGTTAAAGTCCCCGGCAAGAATGACTATATCCGTCCTTTTGGAGGAACGCAGAAGTTCATGTAGTTGTTGGTAAAAGCTATCTTTAACTGCAACTGGGCTGCAGTCTGTAGGAGCGTAGGCGGAGACGACAAACAAGGCACGTTTAACATCTCGACGCCTGCTTACATTACATGAACCTCTTAGTCTGACTGCACATAGCCGACTGTTGACTGGGATCCAGTCAAGCAGAGCTGATTCAGCCCTGGCACTTAATACAACCCGAACCCCAGCTTGACCAGTGGCGGCAGATTCTGGGTCTCCGGAAAGCCGCAAGTAGTATTTGGCGTCAGAGTTTACCGGAGAGGCCATTCTGGACTACACGTTGTGTGTTTGGGTCGCGACGCGCAATCTTCGGCGTGCGGTCGGGACATATTACTGTTTGCATTTTCAGCTACTGTCTCCAATTCTTATTGCAATCCCGCTCGCATATGCTCATTCGATCAGGGTCAACGGGCTCCTCCCAACGTTCATATATCTCGAAGCTACGCACCACAGATTACCTTCACACATTCATTTTCAATGTTTACGATTTTTCTCCTAAAACGTGCGCGCGCCAAATTCATTGACCTCACTTCCCACATCACGAATTCCGGCCATTCCGAGAAGCCCATTTTAAGGGTTCTTTAATAAGGCTGTGAATACTCCTATCTATGGCTGTATAAGGCAACTACAGGCGAATACATTCAATCTACGACCGCTGCCCTCTTCGGCCAAGCACCACTCACAGAAGAATCCGTCTACTAGGGTCGCCAAAATTACATCTGCGTGCGATCGATAACTCTCGGGCTTCTGTCTATCTGACATCCGATCCGTGTCCTTGACGTCCGCATGCAGCGAAGTGACGCACGAAGCTGACAAGA